GTATGTGGAACAATTAATATACCTAGCCAGCTTTGTAATTATTGCATTATCTTGACATTTACATAGACTTTCATGAAGTGAAACATACTTTGAGGTATTCTCAGAGGAGAAAACAAAGCTCATTTTATTTTAGACGATGGATTTAAATAAAATGCTGCAGGTCGGTCTGCTGCGTTACTTTTTAACTGTTCTAAAAGAAGCGTTGCTTTTCTGTTGTGGCCATGTGGCGTTTGCCTTTAACCAGTTGTTGCTGGACGCTTGCTGTTAAAAACACTTCCTGAACAAATCACCCTGTTGAGCCTACGTAACAGCTCTGCTTTTCACAAAAACTACGTCTCACTGTTAACTTGGCATACGCTTATCAGAATACCAGTGCGTTTTAAACCAGCGCCAACCCCCTTTTTAACCGTCTCGTCCTTTTTTTTTTCTCCTGCCAAATCTAACACATACGAGGTACCTTCACAATTCACCGCTTCGCTGAATGAATGGCAGGTTTAATATGGGATCAACGACCACCAAGTTCAGCAAGTTTTTCATTGTGATGCATTTTCAGAGGATTTGCCTTGATGATCGTTCAAATAGAAAGTTTTGCGTATTTTTTTTAAAGTTTATTTATTTGGAGGAAGAGAGAGTGACCATGAACGCAGTGGGGGGGGGGGGGGGGCCCCGCAGAGCGCGGGGGGGGGAGAAACCCAAGCGGGCTCTGTGTTGCCAGCGCGAGCCCGAGGAGGGGCTCGAACCCTTGAACCGTGAGATCATGACCCGAGCCGAAATCAAGAGTGGGATGCTTAACCGACTGAGGCAACCTCTGTGAAGTTTTGCGTATTAAGGCCCCTTTTCAGCAACTGGGTAGCACAGTGTTCCGAATGATAGAAGAAGTCGTGGGGGGGGGGGCATCCTTGTGGATTTTTCTTTCCTCACAATGGTGGGCCGTAGCTAATGCTCTCACAAGGAAACGAAAGTCATCACCATATTGGCTGTACGAAGGACAGGCATCAAAATGGCTGTTAGAACGAAGCTTTCTCGTTCCACGGGGTGTATGCATTCATCACAATGCCGGAATGTGGTGATGTCTTGCGATTTTTGACCTTCTGCCTTTACAGCTGAAGAGGGATTGAATTAGCCCCTGCCAGTTGAGGGTGTAAAACAAAGTCAGATGCTCTTCTCGAAGCTTAAAAAGATCAAATTGGACACTTACCAGTAGAAAGCAAATCGGGAGCTCTGACTCAGAAAGCATAGGCTAAGCTAGGGACCTAGAGGTTCCTACTGTAGAGACCCCACGGACATACGGAGTGGGTTCAGGAAACCCCGTCGTGACATTTAGGAGCACGTAAGTTTGCACTGCGTGGGACTTCGATTCGTGATAGGGCTCCGGCGCTGGGAGGTAACCAGTCATCCCCGAGGCATCTGGCACGAATAGGGTCTAATCTTCTAAGTCAGAAGGGAAAAGCGCAAACAGTTGAGATTTTATGCCTCTTTTGGATCCTACTGTTCTCATGGTAGAGACATTAGGTGCTTCAGAGATCTATCATTTTTGTGGTGTAACATGCATACAACAAATTGTAAAATGCGTTATGCTAAAGTGTACTGCTTCGTGAATTTTGACGTGTGTGCACACCCATCCATGGGAGCACCACCCAGGTCGAGATCTAGAACACTTCTAGGCGCCCCCCCCCCCCCCCCCCCAGTTTTTATCCTCTTTCCCCTTCTGGACAGTTTTGATCCCATTTCCCACCTGAAGGTAACCACATTCTGGTTTTTCTTTCACATCGTGATTTGTCAAAACCGGGGGCGCCTGGGTGGCTGGGTTAAGCGCCCGACTTCCGCTCAGGTCACGATCTCGCGGTCCGTGAGTTCGAGCCCCGCGTCCGGCTCTGTGCTGACAGCTCGGAGCCTGGAGCCTGCTTCGGATTCTGTGGCTCCCTCTCTCTCTGCCCCTCCCCCACTCACGCTCTGTCTGTCTCCCTTTCTCAAAAATAAATAAACATGAAAAGAAATGAAAAAACATCCCTCCATCCACTAGTTTTGTCTCCCATGACGCTCCACATGAATAGTGTCCTATAGAAGGGACGCTCGCGCCTGCCATTCCCATTAACATAATGTCTAGGACAGTCGTCCATGTTACTGCGTGTGGTAGTAATTCAGTCTCGTTTATTGTTGATGGGTAGTTCCGTTGTATGGGCGTAGCCGCATTTGTTGATCCACCCTCCTGTTGCATTTCTGGGTCTTCAGCGTGTGGCCAACGTTTTTCACTGCACGTACCCACTCATTTCAATTGCCAAATAGTCTTCCAAAGTGACTGCAGCAGTTTAAAGTCTACCAGTAATTGGGGTGCCTGGGTGGCCCACTCGATTAAGCTTCTGACTTGGGACCCGGTCATGGTCTCACAGTTCCGTGGGTTCGAATCCCGCGTCGAGCTCTGTGCTTGACAGCTCAGAGCCTGGAGTCTGCTTCAGATTCCGTCTCGCCCTCGCTCTTTGCCTCTCCCCCTCTCATGCTCTGTCTCTCTCTCTCTCTCTCAAAAATAAATAAACATTAAAAAAAAAATAAATTCTACCAGTAGTGTAGGGAGCTCTGTGTTTTTGCTAACACTTGGTTTTGTGGGGCCTTTTAACCTCATCTATTTTCTAAATATTTATTTTTGAGAAAGAGAGCGAGCGAGCGCATGTGCGAGCGAGTGGAAGAGGGGTGGAGAGAGAGAGGGACAGAGGATCCGAAGCAGGCTCCACATTGACAGCAGAGAACCCGATGCAGGGTTCGAACCCATGGACCCTGAGATCATGAACTGAGCCGAAGTCGGTCGCTTACCTGACGAAGCCACCCAGGCGCCCCTAACTTCAGCTGTTTTTGGTGGGGGCATTCTGGTATCTCCCTGTAGGTTTTAAAATTAAAAAAATAAATAAATAACTGTGGTAAAAACACACATAACACTACCATCCATCTCCAGAACTCTTTTCATCTTGCAGAACTGAAACTGTGCCTGTGAAACAATAAATCCGTCCCCCCCCCCCCCCCCAGCCCAAATCCCTGTTCTCTCTTCCTCCAGCTCCTGACAACCACCATTGTATTTTCCGTCTCTATGAACCGGACTACTTTAAAGGACCTCAGATGAGCAGAATCATAGAATATTTGTTCTTTTTTAACCGGCTTCTTTTATGTAGCATAATGCCCTTAGGATTCATTCACGTTGGGGCGCCTGGGTGGCTCAGCTGGTTAAGCATCCGACTCTCTTGATTTCGACTCAGGTCATGATCTCACGGTTTGGGAGATCGAGCCCCGCCTCTGGTTCTGTGCCCACCGCGCAGAGCCTGCTTGGAAGGTTCTCTCTCCTCTCCCTCTGCCCCTTCCCCCACTTGTGCTCTCTTTCTCTCTCAAATAAATAAACTTAAAAACAGAGTCATGTTGTAGTATGTGTTAGAATTTCTTTTTAAGGCTGAATAATATTCTGTACACCTATACCCCATTTTGTTTAGCCACTTGTCTGTCCGTGGACACTTGTTTGCTGCCCCCTTTTGGCCACTGTGAATAGTGCTGCTCTGAACATGGGTGTCGAAATATTTTGAGACCCTGCTTTTCTATTTTCTGGAACTGTGTGTAGGGGGTTCTGGTTTCTCCTCATCCTTGCCAACTTCTCTTCTCCTGTCTTCTCTCCTCTCCTCTCTCTTCTCCTCTCCTCCCCTCCCCTCCCCTCCCTTCTTTTTTCTTCTTCCTTTCCTTTCCTTTTCTTCTTTTTTTTCTCTTTTCCCTTTTCTTATCTCTTCTCTCCTGTTCTTCCTTTTCTTTTCTCTTTTTCCCTTTTCTTCTCTCCTTTCCTTCTCTTCTCTTGTCTTCTCTTGTTTATCTTGTCTTCCTGATAGGAGTCCTCCTAATGGGTGTGAGTTGGTCCTTACTTATGGTTTTAATTTATGTTTCCTGATAAGTAATTTTAAGTGCCGTTTCATATACTTGCTGGCACCGCAATATCTTTGTGGGAAATTTCTATTAAAATGTTTTGGCCGATTTTGATTTTGGTTTTGATTTCTTTGTTTGAGTCCTTTCATATTCTGCATAGGAGTCTTTCGTCAGGTATGCATATCACAGATATTTCCTCCCAGTCTGTGGCTTGCCTTGTCACTCACTGTCTTCATGCTATCTTTGGATGGTTTTTAATGAAGCCCAGTGATTTTTTTTTTTCCTTTTATGGCTGTTGCTTTTTGTGTTCTGTTTATAAAATCTTTGCCTGCTTTGGGGTTATTTTTTAAAGCCTCTCTTTTAGTTCTTTTTTTTTTAATTTTTTTTTTCAACGTTTATTTATTTTGGGGACAGAGAGAGACAGAGCATGAACGGGGGAGGGGCAGAGAGAGAGGGAGACACAGAATCGGAAACAGGCTCCAGGCTCTGAGCCATCAGCCCAGAGCCCGACGCGGGGCTCGAACTCACGGACCGCGAGCTCGTGACCTGGCTGAAGTCGGACGCTTAACCGACTGCGCCACCCAGGCGCCCCTCTCTTTTAGTTCTTGAAAATACATGAAGGCAATCTGTTTGGAAAATGCAGTATATTACTTATAAGCTTATTTCAAATAAGTGCCCTAAGAATGAAAGTTGGTAATGGTCTTTGCTGCAGCAGGTGCCAGAGAAGGGGTTTGAAAAGGTGTGTTTTTGAGTAAGATACGTGGACACAGATGCTGTTACTCAAGTGGTCCCTGCTCCGGTCTCCCCGTGACACTGATTATGTCCTCAGGACCCCTCTGGAGTCGGAAGTACCCTAGGGAAGAGCCTGGTGATGACTTAGCTAGAGGAAAGAATGTGGCAAAATGGATGACGATCCATTTTTCCGTAATTCATAATCCATACTGGCTGAATGATCCTTCCCCTCTCCTTTCCTTTCCTCCGCAAGGAAGGTTGCTCTGTTTGATCTCCCTTCTTTCCTTTGCCCCTGAAATAGGAATGGCCCTCAGGATTCTGCCATTCATTAGCTTTTTCTCTTCTCCACCTGTATTTTGTTGCCTCAGAGCCCTGTG